CCTATTTTAATTATGCGCGCTTCTCACTCCCTATCCGAGTTTCAAACACTTGTGAATACAAATAAGGGTACCTCTAACAACAATTATTCTACTAAAGAATCGAAGGGGAATATAAATAATACTAATTTTAAATTTAAACAGGACTATCTTCGATTTGTGTTTCGACTAGTCGGTATCCGTCACTTTTACTAAACTAATTAAACAATATTCATCTCGATAATTAATTACGAACTCTCGTTCTGTTATTCACGTAATTGATCCGCGGACAGCTTATTAGCTTGATCAAATCAATGCTATTCCGTTACAGCTTAAGTAAGCCGTTTATTGGAGTGTCCGGTCTAATAATCAAGAATATTAAATTATGTATATTTTTAATAAAGGATTTCTACTAAGATCAGCAATATTATTTTATTTCACAACATAGACAACATGACAACATTACAACATTTGATGATGGAGGGAGAGCTACTTATATATCTTTTCTGTCACAAGAAAAACGACACGTGTTTCTATATAAATTATTATATTATGAAGAACAATTAATTTTAGCGTTCGTGCTGTTACATATTTTGCGACACGCTATCTTAATCTGTATTACTATTACTAAACTAAAATTGGTGCCGATCATGGATTTGTTTAACTGCGGAGGAAGATTTTATCATGTGACTAACTTATCTGATTCATCAGATCAGCTTGTCATAACAATAGTGATAGATATTCCTGGATCATTGATTTTAAAAATATAAGGCGCAATTTTTTCACCCTGTTTTTTTTTTAAAATACTTCTAATACTGTTATAATTCTTGGGTTCATATTATATTTTTATAGATAGAATTAAGCATGTTATAATTTTTAGTAAATATTTGTGCTAGTCTTAATCAAAATTTCAGTCATATTTGTCATAACAAAAACTAATATAGTCTCTAAACTTATGTCTGAGCTGCAGCTGTGCCACCAATACTAAAGCAAAACCATCATCAGTCACTGGTTAATTTTCAGCCACACCCACCACTTTTAACTTGCATAGTCAAATGTCCTGGTTTTGTTGCAGCATGCCCCATATCATCACATTAATATTAACTATCCCTTAGAGTATAGAGTGTCAGTTTTCTGTGTGCTAAATACATAATAATAAGAATAGAAGACAATATTAATATGAAATGGTTGTCCATATTTATACATTATGATCAGGCATTTTATTATACATAACCACCAAACAAAACCCAACTATTTCTTACCATCATCTTTTGTACACTGTTTTTTCAATGTTACTGTAGTAGATGCTTTTTATAAGACAACACAGAAAGAACCCAAAGTTAGTCAATGTTGCCAACAAGATACTATGCATTCCCTTAACAAACAACACTTTTTCATCTTACTAAGTTACTAATACTAATAGAAACTATCACTAAAACTATATAACATTGGTGTAGCATGGAGTTAATCCTCAGAGTATATATAACTTTTGATTTCCCAGAAACATCTGGTCATCTCATTATCTCACAGACCCTACCACCTGTTAAATTTCTCTGGGTTTGACAAACATACCAATACCAACCTCGCACACATCATTTCGTCGTCTTCATCCACCACTATTAATATATTAATTGTCTGTATCTCACAGACCGACGATTGATTTCTCCGGGATCAATAGACATGACGACTTCAACGATCATTTCGTCGTCCTCATCCACTATTATTAATAGTAACATTGTCAGATATTAGCCGACTTGTATCGTTCCATCTTTGGCAGTATTAAAACACTACCTTACCTGAGATAATCCTCAGAGTATATATACCTTCTGAGCCATGACACGACCGACATAATTATTATAAAACCGGATCTTTTTTACAGACCCATGGCTGGCCGTCCTCACCGAGGTTCATGATGTTGCTCTCGGCCCTAATAGGCCACCTATCATTTCGTCGTCTTCATCCACTATTATTAATATTAGTATTGTCAAATATTAGCCGATTTACATACTTGTATATCTAATAGTATTAAAACCTCTGTCTTTACCCGAGAATGCCCGACGACGAATCAAAGTATTGGCTTGTTGCTCGAATAATTGAGTCTTAGCCGTTACTGTTGAACGTAACCAAAATTTTTTTTGAAGAATAAGCTTACGCATTCTCACTCAAGCAACACTATTCCCTTGCCAACTTACTCTTTGAAAACAAGTGTAGCTGTCAAAAATTTTTGTCTTCAAGAAAGCAAAAGACACTAAAACTAGTTCGGATATGAGTTAAAGTTGGTGGTTAAAATTTAGGGGGTGAGAAGAGTGTAATCTGATAATCGCTCATGTGATATAAATCTAATTAGGAAACTTGCACCAACGTTGCCGTTGTCAAATAAATTATCAGAGAAAAGGGCTGAGCAGCAAGACCACGACAGTTGGTAGCAATATAATAGCTAGGATACCAAAGGTAGAACTGACGATGTGTTGTAAATTTGGAGGTTCGTGAGTAAGTTTGCGGCAGAACATGTCTTTGTTTAATGTCCCTTGGTCTGGAGATTGATCAACGTATCAACATTGCATGTGCAGTATGACGTCCATATCTCTCACCCCTTCAATGTGCAGATAGATTTCAATGACTCAACAAGTTTAATAATTCTCATCGGTAGTATGAGGTGAAAAAGATAGTTACTCCTTCGGTTGTGGAAGTAGCAGGTTAGAGCGTGTGATTAGAAAGGAACATGTAAGGAGATTTATGTATCTAATAACAAATCCAATTCATTCTTCTCTAGACAATGCTGGGAGTTACTGCATAGTATCCCCTTGCCGCGCTCCTAGTCAACCTATTACTGATGAAGGATAGAGGGAGTGCATACGTGTAATATCATATGTTACGTTGATCGGATAGGATTCAAAGTTCACTCTGACCGAGTGTTACAGATTGATCAATGCTTTGGCAATCGCTTCTACTACTTACTGACTCAGGATGTCCCATCCAATCATAGGCTTTAGACATTAACTCTATGCAACAAATGTAAGCTACTTTCTCATATCCTGGAGACAGTGCGTTGATATGTATTGGTTTAACTGATACACTTGAATCGACAAGGAAGTGATGGAGGGAGCGAAGGGTTTAATATATATAGTACATGCGCGAGTAGGCTCAACTGACAGGGCACATATTATTTACTCTTCTTACTCATCTCTTCTTTTCAAAATCTTATTATGCCATTCAAACAATCGTTTATTTCTTACAGGAAGGCATAATCAAATAAAGAGAATACAAGTAGAAATGTACAATTAATGGGGGGCATAACCGTTAAATTACCCCGATCCGACCATTACATCCATCCTGATAACATGATTATGGTATTATTGTTACCGTCTAATACGTCATCTCGTAGCTATCCCCCTTACAAAGACGCGCCATACGCCTGCACAGTTCATCCTCCTCGCTGTCAGGTTCTTTATCGAATGCTGCTACCGTTTCTTCGTAGATGGTCAGCATTGGGGGGAATTTCTTCAAACGCTTTTTGCGATATCTTCTCATTCCGTGAACCATTGTCGATCGACGTCGTCGTTGAGCAATGAGCAATTCACACTTCAATTTCTTCCTTGTCAGACTTCGCAGTCTCTTTCGTACTACTGTTACTTCTCTGCGTGGACTTTTAGTCTCATTGGCTTTTTTATAAATGTCGACTTTAATGACCATTTTATGTCTGCACAAATTTTGAACAGATCTCTCGTCTGAACCTTTTTATATATATGCACTGTGGACCCACAGCCCGGGCAGGGTCACAAAGTCTGCATATTCGCAGCCACTCAGTTTTGAGCATTAATATACCTCACCCATGTCGCAAAGAGAGGTTGAAACGCGATAGAATGTTAATATTAATCGTTTTTTATTATAATAATAAGCTTATCCAAGCTAAATTTACAGCAGAAATCCAATTAAGTATTGATGTACCCCAAAATTATTAATAGTTCATTCTTCAAAAGAATACAAATTAGTATTTCTCTTCCAAGTTTTGATTATGCGGAGACTTGGCTACGGTTTTATTATATGGTCGATTTCGAAACTCGACGAATAAAGCCAATTTAAGTTCAAGGCAGATTTGCTTCTAGAAGTATGTTCCGACATTTTACATGTAATACGCTTATTTTAGTCATTAATGGTGCTTTATAGTCAGGATTTCGATCATACAATTATAAAAGTACAAATATTCAAAATTCATAACAACGCAGACTATTAGTCGTCAAATGTACTGTATGTACTAAATGCGACTCAATTTTGAAATACATGCTTAAATATATGATTAGCACCATGATGTCACATGTTACATTCCAGTAGAAAATCGGATGACCAGAGAATGCGTTTTTGTAAGTATAAGTCTAAGCGAACGGATCGCGCTCACAGACTTGGTAAGTTTTTTAGATTTCAATACGTGCCTATGACAACATTGAGGAGAGTATTGCGTGACAACCAACTCTAGCAAGGAGAACTGTGGTTTAGCGAACATGCTGGTGTACAAATATTTCTTAACAGCCCATCAAAGCGTCATTCAGAATTCCTCACATTAATCTGTCGAGCATATGCTCTAGAAGGAATCTGTCTATCGTTGACAACAGGGAGGAGCTTGTAGTGATTAGGCCCATCCAATAACGTGCAAGGAGAATCTTTATTTTTTATCAGATTCACCAACATGCTTAAAACCCAGCCAAGTACTCTCCCCAACCGTAATGTATTCACCTCCTATCTAATTCAACAGATCTCTAACTCAAAACTTTTCACACGTCTAGACCCTCGGTGATGATTAGAAGTTTGTACGTAATAGGGGGATTGTGTCGTTTATTTATTAAACATTATGATTGTGAGAGCAGTCTTTCAAGATGAAATGTCGATTGCCATGACTCACATAACGAATCCCGTTCTCATCTAATTAAAAAGAAATCACGATATACAATATTTTTTTCAACCAGGTTCCTTGATAGTCTCTAGCGCAATGGGATGGATCTCGCGAGAATTAGTTAAAAGTTCCAATGGTACTGTATATATAGAATTTATGCTTTGTCAATACATTGAGAGCTTCCCGTTAACTGCTGTATATTAATTTTCGAATAATGACACTTGATCGTTGCGCAGGCGATAAGATCATAGTTTGCTGCGAACAGGTTGCTTCGCTTTCCACAATTTAACGCGTCCCATCGGCTATTCCAAATGAAACGAGTTGCGAGTCGCTGGTAATCGCGTTTCCCAAGATAATACAAGCAAACGTCCAAAAGCAGCAACTGAACCGACTCTTCCATGCATAGAAGAGATAATATGCTGGAAATCAATCATCAGAATCTAATTTACTGCAATGCGCAATCACATGTAGTAGTGAATGCCATGCATCGATCCAAAGACTTTGTTCTTCAGATATTCCCTCCCCAACATTCTTCCGAGTTTTTGATACTCAATTGTATGTTCAATAACGAGTTACTGGGATTTGGCTTAGGTAGATCAAACTTAACACAAATGCTATGCTTCTTTAATTGTATAGAGATGACACCACCACTTGAAGGACACAAACACGCGTCTCCATGCACTGGATTATGCACTCCTGATTCACTTGCAGTCCTTCGCGTTGTAATTTCCTTGATGTAATTAACCTGAATACAATTATGCATGAATAAGGTGGCTATATATTTTGAATATGAATAGCGCTTGTTTCTTTTGAGGGAACATTTAAAATTGTTTTTGGCTTATTTGTGTTTTTATGATGTAGAACATCCTAGCAAAAGCGATTGACCAAATATTCCCTCAACTAATTTGCTTATTATATTCTCACCTGGTCTATTAAGAAATACGATATTCTGTTCATGGTGAATATAGTGTGTATTATCATTATTACATGAAATTATTTTATTATCCTTTAACTTCCCTTCCTCACCTTCGCTCTTTCGTTACTCTACGTTCCTTTTCTCATCTGGAAGAATACGTCACGAACAATACCCTCGTAAATCTCTGACATATTATAGACACGTTCTCACTATAGCCTTAGGCCACTATGTCTTCTTTGATTTCATTTCTGTCCTTGAATATCAACTCTATAACCCATCATTATATCTGTCTAATAACAGCTTATCAGTTTCTTGGATATATATTTAAATTAATGTCTCTTTGATACTATGCACAAGCCTACATCTATACAAAAAAAAAATATTTAATTTGAATTCAAAATATTAAATCTCCAACAAACAAGTGTCTTAACATATCTCTAAGTTGCAAACACATTTGCTTGCATTATTATCACCAGCGCTTTCCATCGTAAGTCGATTGATTTCGGTAACATTAGCAACCCGATGCAGACAGACGCCCGCTGCTTTTTTGAATATATAGAGTCAAAATAAAATAACTCGTAATATTATCAATGTATAGTAGCATGTTTTTTACCTTTCTGATGCACCATTTCGAAAAATATATTGTAATATGGAGCGGACTGTTAATCTGGATATTGATTTTATTTAACTTGTAACCTAAATTTAATAGAAAGCTTTATCGCATTCATAAATTTCAAGTCTTACTATTCATATTGCTTTTGATATCGTTAAGCTCTCTTACTACCAAATGTTCATAAAACAAATTATAAAGATGTTAATTTTACTTTAATGTATGAGGATACTAATACGCCGTAGCTTTAATCTTGTACTTGTTATGTAATAATACACCGTGACATAATAAGACGAATGCCTACCAGTTTTATCCTTAATAATAATTCATAAGTTATAAATGTTTGGCAGTATGGCACATTTACCATAAATTGCACGTGTTAAGGACGCGGGACAAGGATGGCGAAACGATTGAATGCGTTGTGGTTAAGAGAAGAAAAATAACCTTCAGCTTCTACAAACCTCATTAACCAATAATCAGCAAAAATCTTCTCGAGTTTGCGAGTCTTTTTCTAATTCTACATGTCAAAGTTTTTTCATCCGTTAACGTTTCCTTTCAACCGATTCACTGAATTCTCCTGGATCTGGAACTTTTTCAAATTATTTTGCCCAATTAACTTTCGTCATAACAACCAACTACGATAAGAATTATAGTGAAATATAGGACGTACGTTTAATATTAATGAAGGGAAAGTGGCGTAAAGTACTGCAGTCCGATATCAAATTCGTTATTGTAACGGATAAAATGGAAGATTGTATATTGAAGTAACGTGATTGGTATCAGCGTCAATGATAATCGGAGCTGGCAAAGGCGAAGTAATCCCAAATATTTGCCGCAATGACTGTGCCAACTCGACTATAAATTTTAAAAAAATAAAATGAAATAAAATAATTTGTTGCTGGTCTAACAACAACAAACGAAATAAAATTGTATATTTACCATTATCCACTTCGCTCTCTTCCTTCTTCCGTCTAGTTTTGCATGCGTTGGCCAATGCAATAAAAAACTGCCTTACTTGTATACTCTCTCTGCGCCACTTCTGGGGCGCCTTTTTTATCCCTACCAACTTTGTGTCTTTGGTTTTAGCAAGATAGTGTCTTCGATAGAGAAAAAATGGATTCGTAGTGTTAGACTCCATCAATTCTTTGAGCGGTAAAGCTAATGGAAAAGGCGGAACAAGAATGTTGCCTTGTCTGTTCTGGTAAATAGTAGGTTTTTGCATTTGTGGGAGTACTTGTATCATGTAGTTTGAGTGACCAGGGAATTTATATAGAAATATAGTTAAAGTCTCGACGCAGTTTACTATTTATAAGTATTATAATAGAATAGAATATATTTGGTTATTATTGAATGACGTAGAATAATTGCTCTAGACTAATTGAAAGACACAATTTACCTTTTTTTTCTCAGTCAACACACGCTAATTCACACAATAATAGCAACAATAACTTACGTATTGTAAGTTTAGAGTTTAGGGCCAATGTCATAAAGTTTAACAAGGCAATAAATGTAATCTAGGGGTATGGCATATTACTAATTTTGTTTCAAGATTGAGCTTCTAAATTAATTCTTACACTTGCGGTTGCACACGCTGCAAACAAACCGTAATAGTAAGAATATTAGGGCATGGTTACTTTTAGCAAATGGGACATTATTTTACGAGAAAGGCAACTTTGGTGTTAATCAGCCAGGGTAATTGAATCGTATTCGAGTTCAACCAATAAAAAATCCTCCCGATTGGTCGATTGGTCAATTGATTAGTTCTACTACATACGAGTCGAGAGAGAGAAACAATAGTTTTTTTTTTGAGAGTTGATATTCAATCCACAGTAGTATACGGTGTAGCCGAATATACAACCTTGACTTAATAAAATGGATTTGTCATAACAATAACTATATTCTTGACCTTCATTGGTTCTCAAGGTTGCAGCATTTAACGACGTTGTCTCTGATTCGAGTCAACAAATGGCTTTACGTTTAATACTCTTCTTTCGCCAATAACAGCAAAGTGTACGCGAATTTTTTTAATTTGCACAGTTCCAATATTGATATAATACCTGCCACATTAGCATCTTTTTAGTATTGTTTATGAAGCCTCGAACTATTTACAGACGTTGGCATTTAACTACGAATTAAGTATGAATTATTTTACCATTAGTATTAGTATTAGTACTAATATTAATTATATAGCCTTTTCGTAAGATAAATTTTTTCTCTTGGTATCAGCATTACTCCTTTGTGCTCTATTTTTCTTCGTATTATAATTAGTGTCTGCTATTTTTCAGTGTTTAATAAAGTTTTCTGGGACGTTCCGATAACGACGTCAATGGATACAAAACACTTATATGTGTGTACACTTATTACTATTATTATTATTATTCAATAATAGCGTTTTTACATAAACAGTATAAAGAACGATAGTTTCTCAGTATCGGTTTTTAGCAATTTTATAGTAACTTTGATATTTTTAATATTATTTCACTTTAAATCAACCTAATTCAAGGTTACATAATAATAAACTATTAAACGCAACCCCATAATAATAATAATAATAATAAATGCAAATCTCCCCAGTTCAGGGAATATACCAAAAAGGAAACGTAATCTAGAATAATCTGCGGACTAATTCTTGACATTTGATTGGCTCTCTCGCATACTCTTACAATTTTCACGCACAATCTAGTTCATAAAACATGGTAATAAAATAATCAACTCGCCTCAGCAGGCTGTGTGTCAAACCAGGAATAAAAGACTTTCCAAGACTGCTGCAGGTCTGATCGAAGAACATAGTCAAGGTCTTAGAGCGGCAAATCTGGCGGCATGCGACTAATCGGAAAACTGCTAAGCGATTTGTATTCACAAACTTCCCACCTTGTACTCTAAGTCTTAAATTCACTGTATAGTTGCGGGTTCAGACTCCATATACCATGCGACTATTATGCGTACGATTGGGGTGGATAAGCGGTTCATCCAACTTACAAACATCAGGCTATTTGGATACGACAGGCCGAATCTTCAATCACACTTTCAGTGATTAGTGTTTTCTCCCCTCTCTATCTCTCCTTTCTCTCCCTTTCTCACACGCTGAATCATCATCCCAATCAGTATACTCTTCGAGCTCCGTGCGATTTCAAAGATCTATAAACCTACTCTTTTACAATTGTTACACAATGGAGCTTTATTCGAGTATAGTTTCCCTAAGCCTGATAGTTTTCGTAAATAATAACCAGTGTATGCGCTCATGAGAGGTTTCATTAATAGACTTCGGCTTTTGTGGCCTTATCTACAAAATTGGGAGTAAAAAAAAAAAACAATTGGTAGATACCGTTTTAACATTACTGTTGTTATTATGTTTAAATGCATTGAAGTCGTTGATAGCATTCCTAGCCAGCTATTTCCAGACAGTAAACGTCAACAGCAACTAGAGTAGTTCCTTTCGATCACGGTATTATGTATAGAATCATCTGATCGACGTTCCTGATTTGTTAAGGTTAGCTATATCGATATTAATATTCCAGAAATAGCAAATCACGTGATTTCATATTGTTGTTGTGTTGATCAACAAACGCATTCTGATGTTTCAGAATACACAATTCGTTCACTTATTATTATTGTTGTAGACAAGTTGTGCGATCATTCAAAACAAACGAATTCGGAGACCAATATGTCCTATGTACATTAACAGGTAATAGTAAGCAAAAAATTAAACTCTGTCAATGCGCCGTCACGGTTCATAAATCGTTTCTCTCGAATTTTGAAAAAGACAGTAATAAACGTTTAGTGAGGTCGCTATTCCTGATTCAAAATCGGTTAAATCGAACCATTTCGAGTGAGACGATAATTATAGAAAAGCTAAATTTCTGAATTACAATTTCTCTTCTGGTTTGCTTTACACATTCAAAGAACGATGTGGGATACGATTATGAAAACCCGCACAGGCGCACGCAATTAGAATATAATTTTTGAAAAATTCCCACCCTACTATGGACGAAACCAGCCTCTTTTATCAGGTGGGAACCTATAAATCACTGGCGACAGCACGTCTTTCGGGACGAAAGAAGAATAAAGAATATCTGTTCTATGGCTCTATGCGCAAACGCCGACGGTTTGCGTAAACTACATAGTAATCGGTAAATACGCAAAACCCAAGGTGCGTAAATCTCAACAGTTTAAGGGTACTACCGCAACAATAGCAATGCTTGGATGTTAATAAGAATGGTTGCATGATTTTGATATTCACATTTCCAAAGTGCATTAGTATAGCCCATTCTATCTGTCTTTATATATTCACACTTCAAATCCTAGCATCCTAATCCTTGCTATTTCAGAATTTATTTTCTTACCTCACATTGTCATGTCTACTTTTGAGAACCTTATTTCAAGGATTTATCAGAAGACCTTACAATTAGAAACAGTCATTACATAAAGAATCATTGATCTACTGTGCTAACACCATATATTAATATTAATATATAGTAATTGTTTAATATTAAGCTGCATGTTCTCATTATATATTTCTTATTAAAGCACATCCTCTACTTCCCACCTCTGTCCTATTGTCCCTCATATGTTTTATCAAAATCAATGTCTTTGCAACATCATCAAACCCACTTAATTAAAATTTTTTGCCTTTGTTATTAAAATTTCTCCCCAAATACATTATTTTTTATAACAATTAATATAACTGATAGAATTCCTATAAATGTCCTTAACACTTAACTCATTGTCAACTTGCAATGCTACTCACTATTGCTATCTTCCTCTCTACTTTCCACCTCTCAAAGTTTTTGCCATTGTTATTAAAAATTTCTCCCCAGATACATTATTTTTTATAGCAATTAGTATAACTGATAGAATTCTTATAAATGTCCTTAATATTGACTCATTATCAACTTGCAATGCCACTCACTATTGCTATCTTTCTCTCTACTTTCCAACTCTCAAAGTTTTTGCCATTGTTATTAAAAATTTCTCCCAAGATAAATTAATTTTTATAACAATTAATATAACATTGTCAATTTGCAACACTACTCACTATTTGCTATTAAAATTTCTCACCAGATAAATTCTTTTTATAACAATTAATATAACTGATAAAAAGTCCTTATCTCATCATCAACTTGCAATACTGCTATCTTCCTCTCTACTTTCCATCTCTTTGCAACATCATCAAAGGTAAGGTTTTTCACCATCATCTGCCATGTATAAATATTTGACAATGGAGACGATGGTGAGGACTAGATGTGTGTAATGTAGATGGGGGAAAAGAATAACATTATAATTAGTATTAGTAATGCATGTTTGCGCCCAGACTAACAAATGAAATTCCTGTACAAGTATACATACTTTATCTTTTTTGTCCAGATAAATCCAACCAGTCACTCCAGTCATTGCGTATAAATATTTGACGATGGAGATGACTGGAAGGACTAGATGTGTGTGTATGTAGATGGGAAAAAGTTAGTGATGCATGTTTGTGCCCAGACTAACAAATGAAATTCCTGTACAAGTATACATACTTTATCTTTTTTGTCCAGATAAATCCAACCAGTCACTCCAGTCATTATGTATAAATGTTTGATGATGGAGATGACTGGGAGGAGGTAAGATTTTTCACCATCATCTGCTGTGTATAAAAATTTGATGGTAGAGATGGCTGAGTATGAGGACTAGTTATGTGTGTATGTAGATGGGAAAAAAATTTAGCATTATAATTAGTGATGCATGTTTGTGCCCAGACTAACAAATGAAATTCCTGTACAAGTATACATACTTTATCTTTTTCATCCAGATAATAATAAATCCAACCAATCACTCCAGTCATCGTGTATAAATATTTGATGATGGAGATGACTGGAAGGACTAGATGTGTGTGTATGTAGATGGGAAAAAGTTAGTGATGCATGTTTGTGCCCAGACTAACAAATGAAATTCCTGTACAAGTATACATACTTTATCTTTTTTGTCCAGATAAATCCAACCAGTCACTCCAGTCATT